ATATATATATATATATAGATATATAATATATATATATATATATATATATATATATATATATATATATATATATATATATAGAGTTCTACAAATTGAAAGGATCTCAATCTTTTAAAGATAAAATTCTCCACAAAAATTAACAAAACTTACAAAGAGCATTAGAATTAACAAAACTTACAAAGAGCATTAGTTTTTTTTGCTACTGCAACAACTTTTGTTGGAAAAATATCTCCATCCAGCAACTAGATGCCTTATCCATCAACTAGTTCTCAGGCAAGAAAGTACATAATATAATTCTTGGCTGATAACAAGTCAAGCCTTTGACAGAAAAACATTTCTATGATGATCAACAAGTATTAGGGTGCAAATCCACTATGGCGTCTGTTGATCCTAAGGACTCAACGAAGATGAAAAATTATCCAGAAAATTCCAATTTCTGTCACAAGAGTAACCAGTGCTTCTGTTTAATTTGACAGAGTACCTACCAGCAAAAGATGCTGTGACGATCATTTCTCCAGGGCCAATGATGCATCAAAACCTAAAAGAAAGCACAAAGCAAAAGAATTAGCATGCTACAATGCCTCAGGGAAGATTATTTTGATTTATTTGTCCAGAGACAACAATACATCAACGTGTTAATAAAACGAACACACCTAAAGACAAATTCAGATATAGAGCTGAGACTAGCATGCTATACTACAACAGAATAGCATAAATAAGAATCTGGAGAGTTAAGGGCTGGAATCAAATTCCAGATTACATGCTGCCATTAGGCAATAAATTTAGAGATGCTTTATAGTCACATTGAAGCTCAAGTATGTAACATAGAAACAACCTGCACTTGACTTGCAGATCACCTTTTTGTCATATAGCTCTTACAGATATGACAATAAGAAGATACCCAATAAAGGATGCAAAAGAAACATACAGTAGCAAAAGCCAAAAAAGTTGAAAATTTGGATTTTCATAGTGCATAAACCACTTTAACTATATATCATAAATATAATTAAAGATTCAAACTGTCAGAAATATCTTGACTCGAGTTTGACAGTGGGCAAAATACATTTTGGGAAGGGTGAAATTGATTTACAAGAAGCCAGCGAGTCTCATTTCTCTTTCATTACCGGAAGACTGGGCAATGGCTGAATTTTGCTTATAAAAGTAGCTCCTAGAATTATATTTACTTTTCCAATTTGTTCAACATAGCCTAACTATTGTAATCGAACTAGCACACTGCATATGCCAACCACTGGACAGTAACACCTGCTAAAAGAGCAATTTCTGAGAACACTGTTAATTCACTTCATTTGCACCAAACACTCTGCAAACCGAGCTAACACCCACGTATTTTGGATTGATAAGAACATGTTATGCTCAATATGACCAAATCATAAGAGGAGAGGAAAATATCATCCAAACATAAGTAATACACAGAGCAAAATAATAATACTCATTGCCAACAATTGAAAAACCATCTCATCAAGTCTCATCATTATTAATATAGTAAACGTCTAACTATAATTTTATTAGATAATCAGCTAAGGATTTCACCTAGCCAGAACAGAACACTTCTTCAATCCTTAGCTCCCTAGCTATGGACCATCTGAAATATGTAATTTTCAGCTCGCAAGGGATTATCCTAGTAGAAACAGGACGTCAAGAAATCTAATCATGTGTCACGGAATCAGCTTATAAGAATCATAATATGAAAAGGCAAGCATAAACTAGAATAGAAGATCTCATAATTTCTTCATGAGAAAAGCACATCCAGCAATGCGCTTAGCTGAACTCAACTTGTCCGACCACTTGGGATGAAACAAGCTCCTTATAGATTAAGAACTCAATTCATATCACATTCCAAGCTATTACTTCATTACTCGAATGGAATGGTGCACCACTCACAATGGTAGAAACACGTCTACAATCTCTTATCATCATGTTGGAAGACTACTAATCCCATTCGAAACTGCCTGCTAATGCTGTCAATATTGTTCATCAAACTAATCAATTAAGAAAGAGAATTAAATTTGACAAACAAAATACACAAAAAGAGGATGATACTCAACATCGTTTCTCTTTTTTGGGTTTTGGATTTGGATAGGAGAGTAGCAAAGTGATATAAAAGGTGATCGACCCTAACCGTAAATCAAAAGCTTCATCCTCCACCTCAAAATCACCTAAGCGTCCAACCCAGTCATCCAAAAGAATCCTACTTCTTATCATTTCGAAAATTAACCAAAACTCAAACCTAATTACGAAATATCCATAGCCAAATCAATTAAAACATTTAGGTGTCGAACAACCTACATAAGTTTGATATCTTCCAGTAGACTTAAAACGAACAAAACAAGAATAACAACCACATCTACAGAAAGTGATTATCAACAAGCAATTAACTATATCGACAATATCATTGCAAATCTTCTCATCAGTCTTCATTTTCTTGCTATATGTGTGCATCCAAGTTCATCTTACATTCATAAAGAAAAAAAGTAAATGGCAGGAATTATTTGGTCGCAAACTGCAGATAAAAGTTTAATGGCAGATATCACACTACATGGATGCAAACAGTTATGCAGAGAGTGGAAAATTGGAACCTGGTAACACAACTTGCTGGTACAATACCTTGCACCATGCATTATGCACCTGCAGTATCAAAGAGCATTTCTGTTTTTGGGGCTACATTATACAATTCAATGAGTTCTGGAAACTCCTTGTAGCGGAAGATGAACTTCTCCAGAAATTTCTTCTCCGTATATGACATGTATGTGTCCATTCGGAGGTTACGGATGTGAACTCCCCTTGACTTCAGGCCCATCATTATCCGATACCTGGGAATCAATCTTTTCTCCAAACTCATCGTCAAAATCATTGGCCGGTGTGCAAGATAATACGTAGCGCATCTGGTTTCATTGACCAAGAACTCCATCTTTCTCTGCAAATTCTTTAAAGAACATGCCACAAGAGTAGGAACCTTTCTGAATGCAGCAAGGAAATCATCCTCGGACCACCCGAAACCCTTGAAGAACTCCAAGTGAGCCTTGAAGTTCTTCTCGGAGACATTGTGGAGCACAGTCAGGGTCAAGGGGAACATCCCTGAGGTGCGAGCTACTCCCAAATCCTCGACACGACTGATTAACGCCTTCAGGGTTTCAGCCTTCTGGGCT